ATTAAATGTGTGTGTTTTTAGTGTGTGTTTGTGGTGTAGCTATAAATAGACTTGATGCTTTGTAATTTGGGAACAATTCCTCATTTGCTAAAATTTTCCTTTTAGTTTTTCGCTCCTTCTTCTCTCTAGTTTTCTTTCTCTCACTTAGGGCTCTAAGACCCTATTTTTATTGTAATATTTCTCCACCAGGATTGCAACTTTCCGGCTTATTTCTTCTCGTGGATGCACTAGGGACTTGGAGACTTCGTTTAAGGTCCGATTGGAGACTTAGTTGAAGGTCCAAGATCTCGTGAGTCTTATCTTGTCTTTTGATGTAGGGAAGCGTATGAATGGGAAGGATAAACGAGATACTCTCTCGCACAAAACTCACAAGATCTTATTGCATTCAAATATCAACTAAGTAAAATAAACTAGATGGAGTCCTTTATATAAGGCTCCTAAACTCTAGATATTAACTTGTCCATCAAGCCAAATAAATAAAAAAAATTAATAATAATTAATCTTAATAATAATAATAATACTATTCTACACCATTCTTCCCGGGTTCGGAAGGCTTCGCCCTCGAAGCCGATGCGCTCCCGTGGCCGGCATGTGGTGTCGAATCTATGGTAAGAACCCCCGTCGTTTTCCCCGAGCAAACACGAAAGTTGAACGTCGCCTAACCAATGCAACACTCTATTGATTTGCATCAAACAGGGATACGACTACAACTGTCTCACCCCCATTAGCAACAAATACCAAGACTCTTGGGCACAACCAAGAGCGAGCACATCTGCCTTTAGGATCAGATCCCATACAAAAAATGTGATACCACATATCACATGAATCACAAACAATGGAAGCATCAATATCTGAATATACATCAATTGATACTGATCCACTACGAACTTTGCGGTCATCTCCATCCATGCCGACAACTGCATTCTCATCGATTCCCATGTCCCTGCAAAGATTTTTCTCCGTCACCAGAGGCTCTTCATCAAAGATCGGCGGACCGTCGTACAATGGCCCAGTTAACTTGCTCACTGTCGAATTTAGGGATGTCAACACGAAACGGGCCCTCCCATTGACCATATTCGCGATCAAGTTTTCAATCGTGTCAGGCACGATGATAAAGACGAGACCGCCATTGCTTATTTGGATAAATATGACCGTCTTCGGGTTTAGTCGGTTTTGATGTCTCATTATTATTCGTACTATTTTATTTTATTTCGTTTAGGTAATTAGTATTTTGGGGTAGGAAAATAATTATCTTGCAACTGTGGGGCAAATTAGAAAACTTTATTTTTTCTTTCATTTATATGCTCTTGGAAGGGTTAGGGATTATCAGTTTTGAACGATTGAAAAATTTATCTGCTTGAGAGAGTATCTCATTTTTATCAGTTCTTGAGAGAGTATCTCAATTTAATTCCCATTCGTATTAAGCACTACATCAGTTGGTATCCAGAGACCAGCAGCGATCCTCGATGCCGCCGAAGAAGGTTAACGACACCATCGTTGATGAACGATTCCAGAGGATGGAAGATCGATTTCAAGGTATGGAAGATCGTTTCACGGACCTTTCAACCGGTATGGAGGAATTGCAGCAGGCAATGCGTACTTTGATTGCAAATGCTCGTGCGAATCACGACGCCGTCGATCGGGACGCGCGCGGAGGGCATTGAGGAGGTAGGGAGGTCGCGGATTTGGTGGGGCGCCCCGCCACCGTGGACAACCACCTCTGTCCGGCGAAGACGACGAGGAGGAGACGTTAAGCGCGGACAATCCGTTCGCGGAGGGACACCGACGCCGACCGGCTGGTGACGATCGTGCGGCTCGGATTGGTAGCGGCGGTGGTCGTGGTCGGCTAGGGTTTCATGGCGGCGATAACCGAGATGGCGATTGGCGGAACCCGCACCAGGGTGACGTGTGGGAGGACGTCAGTGAGCCGGACGGTGACGACGGAAGGTGGGATTTCCGTGGTAGTAGAGAGGAGCTTTGACGGCGTCCGCCACCGTGGGAGAGCGCGACGAGGACCCATTTCGCCGGGGCTGGAAGGGCCGTGAGAAGGATTTTCAGCCACGGGCCGCTTACGGGGAATGGGTTGAAGTTGTTCGAGGGGGTCGGGACCGACGTGACGGCAGGCGCCCGATAGAAGGAGGCGATGAGTCACGTTGGGATCACGGGCTTCGCGTGGATATACCGGAGTTTGCTGGAGGGTTGATGGGTCGGAATTTATTGAATGGTGGGCGGCTGTGGAGGCCTTCTTTCAATTTAAGGGAGTGCCAGAGGAGAAGCGTGTTGATTTTGTCGCCACCCGCTTTCGAGGTAGGGCGGCGACTTGGTGGATACAGTTAACAAGTATGCGGCATCGACAAGGGAAGCCGGAATTATCCTCTTGGATGAAATTTCGCAAGTATGTAGAGCGTGAATTCGTGCCATTCAATTATGATAGTCTTGTGTACCAACAGTTACAGAATTTGTGCTAAGGTTCTCGTTCGGTGGATGATTACACGAACGAGTTTTATCGTCTCCTGACTCATGTCGAGTTAAGGGAGACCAAGAATCAATTGGTGTCCCGCTATGTTGGAGGTTTGCGGACGTCGTTGCGAGATACGCTAAATCTTTTTCCCCTGGATTCAGTTTCAGATGCTCACCAACGAGCCATTTTTGCCGAGATCCAGTTGGCTCAAAAAACAGGTCTCGCTTTCGGGCCATTCTCGCGGCAAGGCAGAGAACTGGGAGGTGCAGCATTTCAGCCGCGGCCAGCTGTCTCACCGAGTGGTGGCTTGGGCCAGGGGGCTGCACAGACGCGCGCGGCGGGGACTGATGGGCCATACCAGCGGTCCGGCGGTGGTGGCGGGCAGCAGCTGTCCTCGGCGGCAGTTCGTACGGTGGCGGGCCTCCGCTGTTTCGGTTGTGGCGAAGTGGGCCATCAGCAGTCGGCGTGTCCAAAAGGGGCTGGGTCACGTGCTCTTTTCACGGAAGATGGTGGAGACGTAGACACGACGGAAGGATATGATGGGCCGGCGGTTTACGATAACGATGTGGGCGAGATTGAACAATTTGTTAGCGGGGATGTCGAGATAGCCTTGGTACTTCGGCGTACATGTTTGGCCCCCAAGGGTTCGAGTGAAACAACCGGCAAGCGGAACCACCTCTTTGAGTCCCATGCACGATGGGTAATAAAATTTGTCGTTTCATTATTGATTCTGGTGCTTGTGAAAATGTCATTGCTCAGGAGGTCGTTGACAAATTACAACTTTCGTGTGAGCCTCACCCACAGCCATAAACTTTGGCGTTGATACAGCGAGACCGGGCGGTAACTGTTGACCGTCAGGCACTCGTTTTTTTTCCATTGGACCGACTTACCGGGATCAGGTATGGTATGATGTGGTCCCGATGGATGCGTGTCATTTGCTGTTGGGCCGTCCTTGGCAATATGATAGAGCGGCCACTCATGACGGGGGCCAGAACACGTATTCTTTTCTATTCGGTGGGGTCAAAATTATCCTAGTTCCTTCTCCACCTCGTGCAGTGCAGCCAACAAAACCCGCTTCATCAGTCCTTTTTCTTTCTCAGTCAGCTTTTGTGACAGCAATGCGAGATTCTTCAGTGGTTTTGCTATTGTTGGGGACGGATGCGGTTGACGAGCAGGTACCTCCATTGGCCATTCGTCCTTTATTATCTGAGTTTGCTGACGTTTTTCCGGAGGACCTATCTTCGGGTTTACCGCCACTTCGTGACATTCAGCACCACATTGACTTGGTGCCGGGGGCGGCTCTCCCTAATCGCCCTTACTATCGGATGAGTCGATTATGCTATCATCCCGTAGGCTAGGGATTATGTGATTGTGTTATTGATTGCGTTAGCTTAATTGCATGAGCGAGAGTTGATTGAGAGATCGATTGGTTGATCGCGAGTGATGATTACTTGATTGCATGTTCCCGAATCTATGAGTGCCTTCTTTCCATCTCGGGTCTAGGGTACCTTGTTATTTTTCTCTCTATTTTCCTTTTTCGTGCAACTTGAGGACTTGCTTGCTTGCTTTAGTCTAGTTTATTGCATTCTTTAGCTTAATCCAAACCCCAAAATGCGAGTAGAATGTTTAGGATCTCTTATTTTTCTTTCGTGTGAGTCGATCGTTGCTTGAATCCGTGTCCGAATAGCCTTTCTTTGAGAACGACCCGAGTCCGAGTAGCTCGGTTACCAACTATCCAAAATACTACAAACAAGAAACAACGCATTCGGACTTGGTTCTCTGTAAGGCCTTGAGGAGGAAAGGTGTTGACCATAGAAAAATATTCTCGGATAAATGGTCTTCAAATTGTAATTTCTCAAACAGATAAGTACTATCCAAAATACTACAAACAAGAAACAACGCATTCTCTTGCTGAAGACCATAGAAGGAGGGAATTGGTAGAGATGAATGGTCTTCAAATTGTAATTTCTCGTCGCCGCACTAAGAACAAGACACGAGGTGTTATCACAAATTATTGGCGGGCAAAGTACCTCATGTTCGGAGTGGCATGGGTAATTGCTACTTTGATTCGGCATCGTTTTCAGCTCGAGTGGTGTCTCGTCTAAGTTGAGCTCAACGTAAAGATCAATTGGTGCTTCTCCTCTCGGGTACCACGAACCTCGCACACACACAAACAATACACTATACCCGTAAAGGCACCAATGGGAAACAAGATCCAAACTCAAGAAACAACACAATAGCAAACACCAACTAACTACTCCAAAATAAGAGAAATCAAGATAAATACGAAAATTAAGCAAATAGCACAAAAATCAAGAGAAACACATAAATAAAGGACAACTAATAAGTAAACTTGGCATCCTACTTGCCTTTCCTGGCAACGGCGCCATTTGTTTAGTTGTTTTCCAGCGAGTACAATCGAAGGATCTCACTCGGGTCGTCTCTCAAAGGAAGACTACTCGGAGCTTCGTTGAAAAACAAACACAATCTTGATACGTTGAGACTTGACCATATTTGCTAGTGGATCCAAGAAGTACACGTTCTATATTTATGAAGTGAAGGAACTTTCTTAACTCCTTCAATTGGACACCATCATATAATGACAAACCTTCTACTACATATTGATTATCTTACACACCCTTAGGCATATTCAGAAACACACTTCCTTTTTTGTGAAAATAGTTGAAACAAAAAACCAAAAGTGTGTTAGATCAGGAAATGGGAAGAGGGAGAGTGGAGCTAAAAAGAATAGAGAACAAAATCAACAGACAAGTGGCTTTCTCTAAGAGGAGAAATGGGCTGCTCAAGAAAGCTTATGAGCTGTCTATTCTCTGTGATGCCGAGGTTGCCCTAATCATCTTCTCCAGCAGGGGAAAGCTTTATGAATTTGGTAGCAACAGGTACACACACACACACACTATTTTGTACTTGTATGGGCAGTTAGAATAGTGTTTGTGCATATGCATTCATGTCTTTTTCTTAGAACGTGTTAGCTCCTTTTATTTTATTTTATTTTATTTTATTTTTATTCCATTTTTTATTTTCTTGGGTTTGGAGATAT